CTTACACTATCATCCCACCCCAGAGCAGGGCCCACCTCCAAGCACACATCTGTGATGAGCATCCTACTCCTATCTAAAGCTCCCTCAGGCTTTGGGGAACTTTGCTGGAATAACTTCTCCTTAGGACTTCCTCTGTCCATCCCGTCAGCCCCCCCACCCCCTCCTCCATGGTTCTCTTCCACCTTGCTGGAGCCGTACAGATCTCTACCACGTGTCAAGGGATCAAAGCCAGGTACAACAAGGCATGTCTAGCATGTGTGCCTTTGAATCCACAGATACGTCTGCAAGGATGTTCACAAAATGTTAACGTATCTTAGGATGATGGAATTTTAGGTGATTGTTTTCTCTCATCTTTGCACTTTTATTGGTTCCTTACATCTTCTAAATCTATATTATCTTTATACTCACATAACCCCAAAGTTTTCATTTTGGAAAAAACAAATTAAGAAATCTAAGCACATCCCAAACGAAGCTGGAATAGTGCAGTAAAAGTGAGTGGCTGACAGTGGCTCTGCAGTCCTGTAGCTCTTGCCTTTGCATGTTTCACAGGGGCTGTTCCATTTTTCCTGGCACTCTCAGCTCCTGGGGGCAGGGACCAAACCAATTTCCAGAGCTTCTTCACAGCTCTGGGCACAGAGCAGATGCACAATACACCTCACCTCTTGCCTGACAACTGCGCTATCCTCCTCTCTGGTTTTCTCTGCCCCTCTACCAATTTCCAGAGCTTCTTCACAGCTCTGGGCACAGAGCAGATGCACAATACACCTCACCTCTTGCCTGACAACTGCGCTATCCTCCTCTCTGGTTTTCTGCTGCCCCTCTTGCCACCCGCCCACCCCAACTCCCCCCACCCCCAGTCTGTTCTCAACAGTGCAAATCAATCACATCATTCTTTGACCTACAAGGCCCTGCACTGTTTGGCCCACCGGCCCCTCCAGAAACTATACCACCTCCCACCAACCCCTCTGCTCATGCACCAACTGCTCTGGCCCCCCGTTCAGTCCCTCCAACATTCTTTCACTTGCTGCTCCCTCTGCCTGGAATGCTCTTCCCTCAGATCTGTGCTTTGTCATTTAGGTCTCAGATCAAACATTACCTCATCACACGAGGCTTCCCCAGCCTCCTAAAACATCCCCCTGTCCCCCCCGACTCCCACCACACACTATGCTGCCACCTGGTTTTATTTCTTCCCTAGTGCAATTGCCACCTGAGATTGCCGAACTTGTCTACCCTGTCTCCCCAAGTCTCCCCCAGCTTCCCCAGAATTTAACCCCTGCCCGGGCAGGGGCCTTATCAGTCCTGCTCACCAATGTACCCCAGCAAAGAGCCCAGTGCTGCTTGACACATGGTAGGCTCCCAGGGAAGTTTGTGGGGTTGAATGAACGAATCCCACAGTGACTTGTCATGAGTCACAAAGTCTAAGGGTAAAATATCTGTTTTCTGCCATTCCCCCCACCTGATGCAAACAGTGCAAGTCTGCAGTACCTTATCTTGTAAACCGTCCTCAGCACAGAGAATTGGCCGGTGCCTCGGCACAGAGCTGGCTGGCAGGAGTCCTCAGTCGGTGGCTGTTGAATGGATTCTGTCCTCGGCCTGACATTCATTGATCATTTAATCTGTGCCAGGCACTGGGCAAAATGCATTCCATTTACTCTCTTCAAAACCACCCTGTGAAGTAGGTACCAGTTCCCCCATTTTACAGATAAGGAGATAGACTGGCCCATATTTGGCAAAGTTAGGACTTCAGCCCAGGCTGTGTGATCTCAGATCAGGTGCACATTTTTTTTTGGCTGTGCCACGTGGCTTGCAGGATCTCAGTTTCCCGACCAGGGATTGAACCCGGACCACGGCAGTGAAAACACCAAATCCTAACCTCTAGACAAACCACGGAACTCCCCCAGACCAGGTGTTCTTAAAGGACTCCTGCTTCTGAAAATGTCAGCTCTTGGGAAGCAAATATGTCAGCCAAAGCCACCTAGCCTCTGTGTCCTCTGGAAAGACAGAATCTCTTGTTTAAGCTAGCATGTTGGAAGGACACAGTGCTTCAATGATGAGGTCTCAGCTGGGTGGTGGTGAGAACACAGCCTGGATTCAAGAGCTCAGCCACTCGCCGCATGGATAACTTAGTTTCTCTGCACCTGTTTCCCCATCTGTAAAATGGGACCACTGCTCACATCTCACGTCCATTGTGAGTGGAAGGTGCTCACTCAAAGTGGCCTGACTGAACCTGCAGACACCAGCAGCCAAGCTGATGAGCCTGGTAGTATCAGGGGACATTCAGAGAGCTGTCCACCCACCCCAACACTCGTTCAGTGAGGTGACAGTAACAAGGTGGGGAGAGATCCCTGGGGCCACAGTCCCAGCCTACAGCCAAACTGAAGCAAGAAGTGAACACTTCTTGGTGAGGTCAGAGGTCCTCTGAGATCTCAGAGGTTGGGGCCAGCAGGTCAGGCTTTTGAGTCTTACTCCACCCCCAGTCACGAGGTAACCTTGGGCAAGTCGAATTCTCTCTGGGCCCTTTCCCCATCTTTATAATCCAATGGTGAAAGTCATACATTCTTCTCTGCTATTGACACTTCTTATCCACAAGGCGTACAATCAAGCAAAGGCGGCAGAGCCAGACTCAGCATATTTAGGCTCAGAGGGAGACAGATGAAGCAGCAGCCTGGAGTTGCTTCATGATGGATGCATACCCAGACCTTCAAGCGCTACCCAGATGCCGCAGGCAGAAATGAGTTTATTGCATTAGAAAAAAATACCAAAGAAAAACAGCAAACACCTCCGTACTAGACACAATTATTAGTTTGACTTCAAGGGCGAAAAGGAATCTCAAAGGTACAAACTTTATTTCTGGGAGGGGGTGAATCTCATTCCTCCTCCTCCTTCCCTGTCCCTTTAAACCAATGGACCTGGATAGAGGTGTCCACCTGTGTGATATAATCACACACATCTTTCTCATCCTGCTTGCCTGTGCACACCCGTGTGGAGCTAGCTGGTCACAGTGAGCAGGCTCCTGAGGTTCTGGGATAGACAGAGAAATGTGAGGATGGGGCTGGGGGCGTTCCTAGCCTGAGACCAGGTTTCCAGTTAGTGATGGTGGGACTAGGGTGGGGGAGGGAGGGCTCGCCTTCCTGCAGAGCTGAGAAGACGGCTCACTGATCCCTCCTTCTCCCCCCACAAACCCTAAGGCACAGGCATTGGCACAAGTGGCTGTTGCACATGAAGGGTGTCTTTCAATGAACCAAGTGACTCAAAGTCTCTCAGGGGAGCCACTCAGGCTAACTTCGTGGTACAGCCCTGGGTCTGGAGGTGACTACTGGAAGGAGAGCAATCAGCTGAGCCTGGACGTGGGGGAGGAGAGAGAAGAGAAGGAGTTTGTGATGCCCATCATGCTCTGGCCAGAGCTGAGTGCCCTGGGCAGAGAGGTCTGGAGCAGGAGCCTGGAAGGGAGAGAGTGCTGGGCAAGGCAAGCTGAAAAAGGAGAGAAACCCAGCAGCCGAGAAGCAGAGCAATGGCCTTGGTCCACATGCTGCCCTCCCAGGAGAAAGCCGGCCTGAAACCCATTCTCCACGCCCCAATTCTGCCAGTTGGTCAACATTAAATAACAGCCCCTGATAGTTTCTGCTCTAATGTATTATTACCATGCACACCGGCCAACAAGTGGGTCTTGAGAAGAATTAAAGTGCTCACTGGTTTGGCTTCCAATCTTAACAGTTCCAAAATGTCACTTGACATCACAGCTAGTCATCATGGACGTGCCCTGGTCAGGTCACAGGCAAACACTAAGGCAGAATAACATCTTGTCCTCTAGCTGAGACCCTGATGATGCCAACTGCCATGGCTAATGGCAGAGATGGGAGGAGATGAGGCCAGAGGTGAGCAGCAGCTTTTTGGTGAGGAAAGGCACCTGCTGCAGGCCAGAGGCCAGGAAAGAGAACATAATTCAAGTCTGAGAAGTGGCAGGAGCCATGGCATGAGGGGCCTGAGGATGCCAGGGCTGGGACTCAGGTACCACGCAGCTGAGTTATTCTCCACATTCACTCTCCCAAGTTAAAGGAGGTTCACGTGAAGAAAGAGAATATGAAAGCCTTTCCAGATTAGAAACTTCCAGATTATTTGTTGCCTATAAGCTCCTAGCAGCAGCTCTTTATGAAAATGCCCACTCATGCCCTCAACCTTGCTTCTTTAAAGTCAGAATGACACCAGAAATAACACGTGCCTTCAAAACACATTTAGGATAAGGTAAAAATCCCTATCAGAAATAACTCTAAATTTTCTTGCCACCTTGTTTCTGCATCATTATTCTTGCTACATCAGGGATATTTTCCAAGAGCAGGGAATCATTCCCCCTTGGCCCCTAGCTGAATACTGCATATCGGTCTGGGTAGGGTGGGTACAGTGACTGCAAATAACCTACATTATTACTTGCAGACAAAAGGTCTCTGCTGCTCCAGACCTTCATTAACTATGACAGGTCAGCTATGCTGAGGAAATGCAGCCTGTAGACAGCAAAGCAGGTTCTCCAAGACTGATGTCAGAGGACTGGCAATCAGTCTAGGTGGAGGGAGGAATGGCTTTATCCTGTTTCCTCTGGCCTGACACTTGCTGCTACTCCCCCTCCACCTTGAGGCTTTTGGTTGCTCCAGCCCGCCCCGTGGCCTTGCTTGGGGGAGGGAGGGAAGGTGAGAGAGATCGTGGCTAAAGAGCGCACTTAGGTTGGGTTAGTCATCCTGAAACTGGCCCCATGTGCACCAAATCCTTTGGTTCATTTAATGGTGGAGAGTAACCGTTTCCAGGTCATGGATAATGTAAAACTCACCTGGGTCCCACAGGTGGTGGCAACCTGGGTAGAGTGTGGGCATTCTCTGGAAAGAGGTTCTGGGCTGGGGCTCCCCTAGACTGTGTCTCTTGCTTTCTGCTTAAACAAATGCCCTCTGTTTCTCCAGTGTGGAGGACGCTTAGGAAGCAGCGTCAAAAGTGAACTCACAGACAAGACAGCCTTAATAAATTAGTATAATACTATTAGAAGGGATGGCATTTTGTTCTGTTTCTTAGCAGCATTGTTCTACATGCAGCCTGACGACCTCCTTCCCTGGGAAATTTAAAAAGCCGTTCCCTGGTTGTTAGCTCTGATGTAAAATTATAAAATAGAAATCTGGTAGGGTTTGTTTTGTTTAAAAAGGAAAAGCCCTGGTGAGGCAGGGCGGTCCCATGCAGTCCTGTTAGCTCTGGCCGTTGGGTCGGCCCACCGTGCTCCCTCCGGGAGGCTGGATCTGGATGGAGTCCAGGAGGGGCCTCAGGGCCTGTCCAAAGGGCCTGCAGAGAGAACAGACACGGGAGCTGGAGTGGGCTCTCAGACGCAGACTGCCACAGCTGGCCGGCGCGCCCAGCTCTGCCCACATGTGCAGCAGCACTGCCATGCCAGGAAAAAGCTCGCTACAGTCCATTTAATTTTCTCACCTACCTCATACATCCTTTTTCATAGAGGGGATCTCTACATAGCTGCTCTGCATTTTTACTCCTGGTGTCCCCTCCTTAGTAAATGCTACCATCGTACTACCTTTGCCTACTGGTTAGCTGTGGTTTGAAAAGGTTGGTGACATACTGGGAACTACAGCTTTCTGTACTTTCTGTACTTGTATTTTTAATTCTCAAGGTACAAGAAGATAAAGTTTAAGTGAGGAAGCTGAGGTAAAAGAAAAAGGATATGAAAAAGAAAAAGAAGTGAGGATGGCACAGAATTGGACTCCTCAGGGAACTGAGGTCTTCTAGGGAGTACAGGAAAAACTCAGGAAAAATGACAGGTGCAGGATGTCAGAAGGTGTTAATGCCACTGTATAAAGGGCTCCCAGTTCGCTCTCAGAGTAGCTTAGCTGGAAAAAAGACCACAAATACTGTAGTCTTAGAGACTTTCCAAGATTACTGCAACTTTAAATTCGGTTGCCCACAACACATCTCAGTTACTGGCTTTCTATTTCTTCGGTGATACTGCCATTTTTGAAAACCACCCCCAAATTCAAAGGAAATGAAATATTCTAAAGCATAAACTGATGAAACGAAGAAATACTAACCCCAATTCCAACAAGTCCAGGAACCCCACCCATCAAATAATAACAGCAAGAACATTCCAGCTACTCGGGTTTGCTCAGGGCCCAATAACCTAGATCCTTCAGCAATGCTGTGGTGTTTAACACACCCACCAAGGAATAGGAGCCAGGACTGGGATGTGGGGCTCTCCTCACCAGCTCTACACAGACAATAGCCTTCTTTCCTGTGTAAGTTTTTCCTGAGGGGCTCCTACCTGGGTGCGAAGAACAGCTCACCACGCTGAGTCTGCTAAACGTGCCAGGATCCCTGTTGAACAGGTCCCCAGTTCAGGAGAAACTGAGTCAGAGTCAGCAAATGGACCCGGTCCTAGAGTGGGCAGAGGCTGCCTGAACGCAATCAACAGCAAAGGGAGGGGTGTGTGTGATGGCATTGGGGGTGCCTAGATGATGGCCCACAAAGCTTGGACCACGTCAGGGAGGGAGGGGCTACACAGTGTTTTTGAAGAAAACATCTACCGAAGGCTGACTGTGCGCTACGAGGTACGAGGGCGATTAGGAGGTTTGAAGGTGCCAGAGAACGCAAGGTGCATGGGAAGAAGGACGAACAACAGTTTCAAAACAAGTCACTGTACTAATTCTCTGACCTACTCTTGGCTCGTCTATCTAAACCGCCTTTTAAGTGGGCACTTCTGGGGAGTGGCGTGCTTCATGTGCAATGGGGAAGACAGATGCCAGGACTCTGTACAAACACTGGGGCCAGAGTCAACTGGGTTTCTAAGTTCTGCAGTTGCACTCAGGTCAGGATAGAGTTGGTCCAACTCCAAGGAGGGTGAAGGTAACACAGGTGAGCACCCGAGAGTAGAAAGAATGGTGGCATTCTATGTTAGAAGCTGCCACCATGACACCCCACCCAGCTTGGGAGGATTCTGCTGAGAACAGTGGGGGCAGATGTGGGCCAGAGGAGAGGCCCTGTCTGTGAATGGGGATTTCAAAGGCAGAGACAGAGGCCACTTACGTGGAGAGAACTTCAGAGGGAAGGTCAGTGATGTAAGAAGGGATCTTCCGTCCGGTCAGGAACTGTGCCACTTCATTGCTGAAGGTGTTACAGTTGTGTTCAAAGAGGTTGTAGGCTTCACCTCTGTACATTGTGAGAAGGTTTGGGAAACAGATATGAAAGTCAGCAACCATGTATGGGAAACCATTCAAACCAGGTAACAGAATGGTGAGCACAGCTGAATTTGAGGACTGCGATTTCCCCTCTCTTACACTCCAAAAGGAGTGCCTGATTTGCCACTCTGGGCATTTTAAGGGAAGGATGAAATAAACACATTTGGCTCCTCCACAGTTTCAGGAGAATCTTTATAGTCACAAAAGCAGAGCTACAGGGTTAGAGTTTAACACTTCAAATTGACTAAAGCTTCTTTAAGAGAAAATATGCCCAAGTTTGTATTTTATCCCAACCTCTCTACAAACCCCGTTTTCGATTTTCAGGATAAAATACTGCTGTTGAGAGCAGCATGTGCTGAAATAGCAGCAGCTGATTTTAATCAGAAGGAATAACCAGCCCTTCCTTTCCTCAAAAGTTTCAGCAGTACATATGCTGGCATGGAACAGTGGCCTTGGAGGCAATGCTGAGCTCTTTTTGTGTAATGATTAACTGCTTTCCCTTCATATTTATTCAGCAAATACCAGGTCAGACCTTGCGCTGAGTGTTCTGGGGGAAATGACCTGGTGGCTGCCCCTGCGGGCCAATCATCTAGTGGGGGAGACAGACACAACTAACCACCACCCCTGTCTCCACTCACCGGAACAGAGACTCCCCCAGGGAGGACAGGTACTCCAGGAAGATTTCTTCTGTGACTTCTGTACTCCCCACATCAACCACAGAATCTGGGGGCCCAAGCAACGTACCTCCCTAAAAAAGCCAACCCAAAGAAAGTCAGTAAATCACTCTCTCCACTGAATTTTTTCATGTGGCTTCCCACATGAAATGTTCTGCTCCAACAACTTTTAACTCTCAGAGCACCCAGGACAGATGAAGGGTTATTATTATTTTTTTAATTTATTTACTTTTAAAATTTATTTTTGGCTGCATTGAGTCTTTGTTGCTGCGCTCGGGCTTTTCTCTAGTTGTGGCGAGCCGGGGCTACTCTTCGTTGCGGTGCGCGGGCTTCTCACTGTGGTGGCTTCTCTTGTTGCGGAGCACAGGCTCTAGGTGCGCGGGCTTCAGTAGTTGTGGCACCCAGGCTCAGTAGTTGTGGCTTGTGGGCTCTAGAGCGCAAGCGCAGTAGTTGTGGTGCATGGGTTTAGTAGCTCCACAGCATGTGGGATCTTCCTAGACCAGGGCTCGAACCCGTGTCCCCTGCATTGGCAGGCGGATTCTTAACCACTGAGCCACCAGGGAAGCCCAAGAGTTAGTTCCTATTTGTGTCAAGGTTATAATGGCTTAGAGCTCCCTGGAGACTTTCCATCGCCACGTGCTGGCAACAAGGCTAAGAAGTCAGGTGTCCTGTTTCTGGCAGGGCCCTGGGAAGCTTAGTCTCCTGCAGGTCAGACTCCTGACACTGTCCATTCATTCAGGTGATAAAAGGATAGAAACCCGGAATCTGAAGTCTCCCTTTGGCCCCAACATGCCTACTCACGAGGGCAGAACAGGACGACCAGAAATGGCTCACACTTGACAGGCCATCTTTCCAGGTCTATATTCATAATGTATGCAGCCAGTTCTTTTTTGTGACACACTTGATATCCCTTGTAACACTGGGAAAATGTGAAGAACTGTGAGGAAGCTGGCAGGCTGGCAAATATTTCCACAATTCAGTTCCTTTTTGATCTGTGAGGCTAATTTAACGAGGTGATAGGGTTCCTCTGGCAAGGGAGTTAATGGTCCCCGAAAGACCTACAGAAAAGTCTCAGCCATGGGTTAACAGACTGCCATAGCAGACTCAAGGAGAGACTGAGGTCCTGGGGGAAAACAGCCAAGCAGAAAGCAACAGGGTCACTGAAGAGGAGAGAGCTGGGAATGGGCTGAGGAGTAAGGGAGAGTACTCCAGAGCAGAGCTCCCTGAAAAGATCATAAATTCACACAATAGCAGCTATTGAGCACCTACTATGTGCCTGACGTTGTTCTAAGCACTGGGGAAAACATGGTGAGCAGGATAATTATTGTAGTCAGAGTTGCAAGAAACTAAAAGGTCATTATTCAACCCCCTATTATTCACTCATATGACAAGTATGTATTGAGAACTTACTATCTGCCAGGCCTTATGCTAGGCATTGGACAAAACAGATGAGATTCTTGCCCTCATGGAGCTTATAGTCTACCAGGGAAGGCAAAAAAAAAAATCCCATAAACCATGTATAATTACGAACTGCGATAGGGTCTTGTTGGAAAAAGCACTGCTGTCAGTACTTAAGACAGGAGACCTTCCCAGTCCGAAGGGTCAGAGAAGACTTGGCTGAGAAAGTGACATTGAGTTCATCTGGAGAATGGAGAGGCATAACCACATGAAGGATCAGGGAGGTAGACTGAAGTCAGAGGACAGGTTTAAATGTCCAAGGTGCGTTCAAGGAATGAGAAGAGGGGGGTGGGGAAGGGCACAACCTGCAAAGAGGCCACCCAGAGAGAGAGACCGAGACCAGATCAGATGGGGCCTTGTAGGCTATGCTGAGCTTTCTTGTTTTTATTCCAAGAGCAACGGGCAGAGTACTGACTTAAGCAGGGGAATGCCATGATCAGATTTTCATTCTGAAACAATCACTTTGCCTCCTGTACAGAGAACTGACTGAGAAGGAATAGTAGATGAATTGCTGTCGTCCCGGCTAGAAATGAGGGTGGCCTGGATTAAGGTGAAAGCTCTGGAAAAATGAGACGAGATGAAGAGAATTAGACTGGTTTAAGGTACACTTACAAGATAGAACAGACGTGGGCTTAACGAAGGACTTGTTATATGAAGTGGGGGGGGCCAGTGGGAGGAAGAGAAAAAAAATGACTTCCCATTTATAAGTATCAAAATGCATGGTTTGGACTTCCATGGTGGCACAGTGGTTAAGAATCCGCCTGCCAATGCAGGGGACACGGGTTCGAGCCCTGGTCCGGGAAGATCCCACATGTCGTGGAGCAACTAAGCCCATGTGCCACAACTACGGATCCTGCACTCTAGAGCCCACATGCCACAACTACTGAAGCCCGCGTGCCTAGAGCCTGTGCTCCGCAACAAGAGAAGCCACCACAATGAGAAGTCCATGCACCTCAACAAAGAGTACCCCCCCCTTGCTGCAACTAGAGAAAGCCTGCACGCAGCAACGAAGACCCAACGCAGCCAAATAAATAAATTTAAAAAAAGAATTTTTTTTGGTCTTTGCTTGAGTACCTCCTGTGACGACCCTTAGACAGCTACGACAGAAATTTTCTGGAAAAGGGCATGGGCTTTGGAGTCAGAGAGACGTGAGTTTTAGTACTGGTGCTGTAACTGGCCATGTAACTTTGGGCAACTCACTTTACCTCTCAGAGCCCTCATAGTTCACACTGACTGAGCTTCACATTGACTGAGTTCATACCATGCATAAGGCACTGAGCTGGTGATGGTGATAGAAGAATGAGACAGTCTCAGCTTACAAGGAGCTTACACAGGGCTCCCCCTGGAGACTCAGGAACAGCCCACTTCACCATAACATGCTCAGTGTGACACAGAGGGACCACGAATACCATGGGAGCAGAGGGGAGGTCAGCTAGCTGGAAGATCTGGGAAGGGTATTCTTGAGCTGAGTCTTAAGGTCACCATGAGGAACTATGCCACAGGCCTGTATACACTGGGCTAGAAGCCAGAACTATAGAGGAGAACAAAGTTCCTGGTCTATGGGAACCCGAGACTGCAGACAAGGCAGGGCAAGACACTCACCGGTGGACAGCTGGAGATACCGCCACTGCCGAAGAAGAACTCATCCTTGTGTACAACTATGGAGGTGTGCCTGCAATGCAGAGAAGAGGCAGAATAAGCCAGAAAGCTTAAAATTGGTCCGAGAAAAAGCAAACACCACACTGCAATGAGAGTGATTTCTGCCTAAGGATATGACTTATAAGGTCAACATCTTTATAAAACTAACCAAACAAAGGTAAGATAAATACCATAGGCCAGAGTTTCTCAACTGTGGCACTACTGACATTTGGGGCTGGCTAATCCTTTGTTGTGGGGACTGACCTGTGCATTCTAGAATGTTCAGCAGATCCTGGCCTTTACCCACTAGATGGCACTAGCATTACCTGCCTCCGCTGTGACGACAAACATGTCTCCAGACATCGCCAAAGGTCTCCTGGGGGCAGAACTGTCCCTTGTTGAGAACCACCGCTGTAGATCATGTAAGCAGAGAGGAGTCCTTACAGATTCACCCCAGTATTAACAAATCAATTACTGAAATAAATCTCTGCAGACCAAGGTGTGTTCCCAGACTTTTTAAACAGGAGCAGTTAACCTGGACCATGTTGAGAGAAAGACCAGATGATAAGTGTGAAACTATTTCAGGTGAAGGTGCTCATATTACTTCTTGGTTCGAGTCAAACAAAGCAAAGGGTCATTCTGGTCAACCAATATGTCAGCAGGCTCTAGGATCCAGAGAGAACGCTGACCTAAGGTTTTCTCAGAAATGGAACTGAGCCCAGCCACCACCTTGTGTCTGACAGGGATGGGTCTGAGAGACCAAAGTAGAATGTGCTCTAAGACAGACATGTGGGATACTCCTGACTTCCATAGTTAGAAAGCTTGGTCAGGGGTGTGCATGACATCATTCCGCCTTTCTTTAGGACAGGCTTTCTCAACCTCTGCACCACTGATATTTCTGGTTGGAAAATTCTTCATTGTGGAGAGGTGTCCTGTACAATGTAGGATGTTTATAGCAGTAACCCTGGCCTTCACCCATCCACCCCAAGTCTCCAGACACTGATAACTCCTGGCTGGGAACCACTGCTTCAGAACTTGATTTGTGACTTGAGAGAGCTAGGTTTCAAACTGGAAGCCACAGATTGGAACCTGAAATGCATGGGTGCTATTTGGTTTCATAAACCAGCCAATGTAAGGAGTCCCACCCAGCTTACCAGATGCCTTCCAGTTGTTTCCCTGTGGAGAAAAAAAGAAGAGATTTAAGCACTTGGGACTAGACTAACTGGCCCCATATTTACTCCAGCCGGAGTAAATTCAGACCATCAGTCAAACCCAGAGTAACCCATTATAAACCTCCTGGGGGACTTTCTAGGAATGCAATTCTCCTCCAATAAGGTCCTTAGGTCATGACATGGTATGTTGTGTTAAATAAGCTGAAAAAATAATCAGAATCCTTAAGCAGAAGGCAAGATGGAACATTGGTATAGAGGTACCCAATTTTATGTCTGCTTTTCTTTCCCCTTTAGGGTCAACTCAACTCTGCCTTTTTAATTTCTTTGTCTCATCTACAAAACGATAGTATAGCGGACTTCCCTGGTGGTCCAGTGGTTAAGACTTCGCCTTCCAATGCAGGGGGTGTGGGTTCAATCCCTAGTTGGGGAGCTAAGATCCCACATGCCTCGTGGCCAAAAAACCAAAACATAAAAAAACAGAAGCAATATTGTAAGAAATTCAATAAAGACTTTAAAAATGGTCCACAGCAAAAAAAAAAAAAAAAGAAAAAAAAATCTTAAAAATAGTATAGAAAAACTATTGTCCACTTCTTCATGGAGCATATGTGAGGTGAAATCCTTTAGAAAATTAGAGAGCAAACTGCAGATGCCATCCATTTGAATAGTCAATGCACATGTATTCTACACCTCTATATGCCAGAAATGATGTGAGGTATGGAAATGCAAATATGAACAGATTACTGTCCTGCCGTTAAGGAGCCCAAAGTCAAATGGAAAGAGAGAGACACACGTAACTAACTAAAACACAATGTTGATAGGCTCCATAATAGTGGTAAACATAATAAAGATAATTACCTTCACGAGCTGCAATTCAACCAATGAACAAACGGGGGAGGGATGGACATTTGTGCCGGCAGGAATAGTATGTACAAATGCATAGTTGTGAGAAAGACTAAGGTCTTGCAGGGTAGAGCAAAGGGTGCAGTGATGGTGGTAAGAGGACGAGTGGCAGGCAAGGGTATGAGCAAAGTAGAGCAAACCTGGACTGAAGGCTGCCCTACACTGTGGGGCACTGAAGGTTTTTATGCAGTAGAGTGCCCTGATCAGATCCATGTTTTTAAATGATAACTGTATCTTCTAAGAGATAACTGTAGGAATAGAAGACGAATTGGAGGGCAGAGAGTAGAGAGAGCAGACGAGAGTGAGGAGGTCTTTGCAGTAGCCCACGGGAGATTCCACAGTGCTAAGGATGAAAAGGAAGGGCAGTGAAAGACATGAGAACGTTATCAAACATCACTCATTCACCTTTGGTAATAATTTCACGGTAACTGTTTATTGATTGCTGAATTGAATACTTTCAATGCTTTAGTGTTTGCCCTGTGACTTTCTAAAGGATGAAACTCTAGGCACTGTGTGGAAGGAGAGGTGATAATGATTACACCTCTCCCTTTGCATAAGTTGCACTATTTTGCCCCTGTAAGAAAGCTTTTAAAATAAGATAACAGCAGCCTAATTTTATTTTTTTTGGAAGAGACAGAAGAAACCATGGGTCCTGCATGACAACCTATTGATGGCTCAGCATAGTGTCATCAGAGGCAGTTAAGAATATGGCACAGGTTCAGAGCTGAGCTTTTTCCCTTTGCTAGCGGTGGATCTTGGGCAAGTTTACTCAACTTGAGCCACAGTTTCTTCAATACAAAGTTGTTGTAACCAGTAATGATAATCTGTATAAAGCTTCACAGTGTGTGGTACACAGAAGTTTGATAAATGGGAGATACTACATATGATAGCCTCCTTGGGGAAAAGGGTGAAGACTTTCAAAAGATAAAAGAAGGTGCTTCCCTGGTGGTGCAGTGGTTAAGAATCCGCCTGCCAGTGCAGGGGACATGGGTTCAAGCCCTGGTCCGGGAAGATCCCACATGCCACGGAGCAACTAAGTCCGTGCACCACAACTACTGAGCCTGCACTCTAGAGCCTGTGAGCCACAACTACTGAAGCCCGCACGCCTAGAGCCCGTGCTCTGCGACAAGACAAGCTACTGCAATGAGAAGCCCGCGCACCGCCACCAAGAGTAACCCCTGCTCGCTGCAACAAAAGAAAGCTTGCATGCAGCAACGAAGACCCAACGCAGCCATAAATAAATAAAGTAAAATGCAACGTTAGGGACTTCCCTGGCAGGCGGATTCTTAACCACTGCGCCACCAGGTAAGCCCTAACATTGCATTTTAAGTAGAGCTGATGTGCTCTTCTGGACTGCCACTTATAAAACAGCTTGCTGTCTAAATGGCAGCAATTTGTTGTCTATTTCCTTGGAGACATGCAATGATGCATGAAACTAGACATATAAGGGATAGTGTTTTTTCTTGACTGTTCCTGCTCTCATTTACTTTGGGAAAAACACTATACTTATATGAGAAGAAGTAGAGTGTAGTGAACAAGAACACAGGTTCCAGTGTGGACAGGCCAGGTCTGAATCCTATCAGTTCAGTCAGTGAACTAATGTTTATGAAGTGACTATTATACTTCAGGCAATATTCTTGGCAGTAGGGAAACATCAGTAAACAAAGGAGATGAAAAAAAACCTCCTTCATTGTATTTACAGGGTGGGGAGATAGGACAGTCAATAAATACTACTAATAAACATAATAAATCATAGTAGGTTAACAATAATGATAATAATAATAATGATAATAATAATAATAATGATAATAATAATAATAATAATGATAATAATAATAATAGTGATAAAGAAAAATAAGAGCAGGGTAAGGGACACTGGGAGTTTCAGGGATGGTCAGGGTGGGCCTCTTCGAGAAAGTGTCATTTGAGCAAAGGCCTGAAGGAGGCAAGGGAGGGAGCCATGCAGAGGCAGGACATGCTAGGTGTATCTGAGGGACCTTAAGGAGGCCAGTGTGGCTAGACTTGGTGAGTGAGGAGGAGAAAAGTAGGAGATGAGCAGAGGTAATCGAGGACCAGATCATATAGATGAACCTGTTGAAGTTGAGAACTTTTCTAAGCCTGAGCTGTCCAGTACGGTAGTCACTGACCACGTGTGGCTATTAAAATTAAAAGAACAAATTCAGTTCCTCAGTTGACTACTGCATTTCAAGTACTCAGTAGCCCCATGTGGCTAGCAGTTAGAGATGGGACAGTGCAGATCTAGAACATTTCCATCATTGCAGGAAGTTTTTCTGGATGGCATTGTTTAAACCTTAGTTTCCTATTCTATCAGAAAAAAAAAAAAAGCATAGTAATAGTGTCTACCTCATAACATTTCCAAGGTTAAAAGAGATGACACACAAAATAGGCCCAGCACAGTGCCTGGCACATAATATATGTCCCCCACAAACTAACTCTTCTGGGACTTCCCTGGTGGTCTAGTGGTTAAGAATCCACCTTCCAATGCAGGGAACTTGGGTTCGATCCCTGTTTGGGGAACTAAAATCCCACATGCTGCGGGGCAACTAAGTCTGCGGGCTCTAGAGCCCCCGTGCCCCAACTACTGAGCCTGCGTGCCGTAACTAGAAGGAAGCCCATGTGCTGCAACAGAAGATCCCACGTGCCGCAACGAAGATCCTGCAACTAAGACCCGATGCAGCAAAATAAAAACAAACAAACAAAAACTAACTCTTCTTTTAGCCTTCATGATTTGAAAGTGTTATGGCTGCTTTCATAGTATCTTGGTATGGAAACTACCTTTTTCCCTCGTTAGTCTATAACTGTCTCAAGGACAAGGTCAGTTTCTTATGCATCTTTGCAATTCTAGCACCTAGCAAAGAACCTGGAACAGAGATGCTACATGCACAGCTGTTGTGGTTGACACACAGTGCTAACGAGGCCAAAGTTCTTAACCCCAATCTTGGCTGCCCTGGCTTTTTACTCAAATGACTTTGCAACCCTGGCATATTGCACCCTGAGTCTGCTACTGCCTTCTCAGATGCCTATGTTCAATGACCCAGGTGGACAGGTGGCAGGTACAGATGCACCGGTTCAAACCCAGCCCTACTAAAATAATGGGTTTTTGGAGAGAGGCCTCAGAGACCATCCTGCCACTTATTTTACACCTGAAAAACAATTCAAAAGTTGTGGGATACAAACCCTACTTTATTCTGCTTGATATTCTCTGTATTGATCACTAAATTTATCTGTAAGCTGGACATTATACTTCCTCCTTATTCAACTACATCAAGGTTTGCTTAAGATCTCATCCATCCATAGAATGGTGATAGAAACTGTAGAAAAAAGACCCTCTTATTTATTCATTTTTTCATTTATTAATCCGCCTACCAAACACTTGGAGCCAACAACATTTAAAATGGATTGAGTGGATTTACATCCTTTCTTAATTTAAAGTGCTTCATAATTATCCTTATTCTCACATCTTTACATGATAGAGTGGAACAAATATTTATTAACATCATTTCAAACAGGTAAATAAAGATACATGGTTTGTCCAGTGTAAAGACAAGAAAAAAAAAGGATGTAACCATGTACTTGTTGGAGCAGCTCAGGTAGAAACGTAAGGTTGGCTACTCAGTGGCCTGCTCTCATGAGGACAAGAACGAGGATCATGGCCTCCTCTGGGGGTGACAGGCATTGTAAAGTGGGACTGAACTGATTTAAAAATTTTTTTCAGCCAGACTGAGGAACAGTAGGTGAGGAGATAGTGGGGGTTTGAGATTGAATTGGGGCACAAGGCCATTTTGGGATGTGAACTAGGCTCAGTGGATATTAGCACACTATAGGAGCAGATTGTTTTCCCACTAGGATTTCCTCAGCAAGCTGGAGAGTGGGTGGGTCAGATGGCTGCATGTCTCTAAAGCTTGCTGGCACGTCCGCTGCATTGATTTTGAAGCCTATGAGGTATGCACATGAAAACAAATGGAAGGGCTTCCCTGGTGGCACAGTGGTTAAGAATCCACCTGCCAATGCAGGGGACACAGGTTTGAGCCCTAGTCTGGGAAGATCCCACATGCCGCGGAGCAACTAAGTCCGTGCACGGCA